TACAGAACAGACAGATAGATGATAGACAGACCCACAAACCTATAGACGTCTATCTGTCTATCCATCCATCACCCCCTACCTATCTAAACATACACAGGTAGATTGTAGATATGGAGAGAAAGTGAGAGAGAGAATCCCTATTCAGACGTTATAAGGTGATAGATATGGGACAGGGAATGAAAGGGAGAGGGGGAAAACCCCGTTCAAATGTTATAAGATGACAGATATGTAGACAAAGAGACAGAAAGGCCAATAAACCCTACTCAGAGATTACAAGATGATAGATATGCAGCTACACAGAGTGAGAGACAGGTCTCTATTTGGGCGTTATACAAGAGTCCCATAGCTAGACAGAGAGACAGGGAAGCTCTATTCAGATGTTATATGACCATAGATAGGTCAAGACAGATCCATCCCTATTCAGGTGTTACTAGATGATAGATATGGAGGCAGAGAGACAGGGAAACCTGGTCAGAAGTTACAAGGCGAGAGCTACGGACATAGACAGATCAAACCCTATTCAGATGTTACAAGCTGATGGATATGTAGAAATACAGAGCCAGACATAGGTCCGATTCAGATGTTATATGAGAGATACATAGCTAGACAGAGAGACAGGGAAACTTTTTTTCAGATAGCTATGTAGTCAGAGACTACTAAAACCCTATTCAGATGTTATAAGATAATAGATATGTAGTCAGAGACTACTAAAATCCTATTCAGGTGTTATAAAATAGATATGTAGTCAGAGACTACTAAAACCCTATTCAGATGTTACAAGAGGATAACTATGTAGTCAGAGACTACTAAAACCCTATTTAAATGTTATTAGATAATAGATATGTACTCAGAGACTCCTGAAACCATATGTTATAGGATAGATATGTAGTCAGAGACAAGTAAAACCCTATTTAAATGTTATAAGATAATAGATATGTAGTCAGAGACTACTAAAACCCTATTCAGAAGTTATAAAATGATAGATATGTATTAAGAGACTACTAAAACCCTATTCAGATGTTATGATAGATATATAGTAAGAGATTCCTAAAACCCTATTTAGATGTTATAAAATGATATATAGTCTGAGACAAGTAAAACTCTATTTAGATGTTGAAAGGGGATAGATATGTAGTAAGAGACAAGTAAAACCCGATTTAAATGTTATAAGATATGTAGCCAGAGACTCCTGAAACCCTATTCAGATGTGATGATAGATATGTAGTCAGAGACAACTAAAACCCTATTTAAATGTTGTAAAATAATAGATATGTAGTCAGAGACTCCTAAAACCCTATTTAGATGTTATAAAATAACAGATATGTTGTCAGAGACAACTAAAACCTTATTTAGATGTTGTAAGAGGATAGCTAGGAAGAGATAAACTGTATCCAGATGTTATAAGATGGTAAATATGTAGTCAGAGACAACTAAAGCCCTATCCAGATGTTATAAGAGGACAGATCTGTAGTCAGAGAAGCAGACAAATCCCTATTTGGATGTTATAAAATGTTTAAGGAGATTCCCGCTCGAGGCGCTAGCGATGGAAATGAAGTGGAATCGCAACCTAAGATTCCTCTCTTTTTCGCACAACGTCGTCGCTCCTCCGTTGCCGATCCATTGTTATACTGTTATCATCGCGCAATTTTGCATCAACAAGTATCTCTTGTTAATGCGAAAGTTACAATCTTCTATACAACTGAGGACTCTGCACTGCATCTTCTTCAATGCCATCTGTGTTGCTGTTGTGTTGCTTTGCTTTAGAAGGTGAAGAAGAAAGAAAGAAAGAAAGAAAGAAAGAAAGAAAGAAAGAAAGAAAGAAAGAAAGAAAGAAAGAAGCAACAGTAGCAGCAACCATCAGGACTCGAACTCTGGACTGCCGTTGCCAAAGCTCTTGTTGACCCGATCCAAAAAGGCTCACTATTGCCATTTTACATTAAAAGCATTGGGAGACAAGTTCAAAACTTTCTGTTCTATTAACTCGAAAAGAACAGTCAAAGCCTATGGCTTTTGCCATCATGATACAAACTCCGATTTGTTAAACAGTTCCATTTTCTGGCAAAATTTGGACACAAAGTGGGAAAAACACAAAATACTCCACTTACCCAAAAGACAACAGATGAACAAAAAGATGCCCATCTTCTGGACGGTTCAGTGTCATCCAACGGACCAAGAAATCAGAAAAGTCGATTCCACCTAGCCCTGAAAACGTCGTATACTATCTCTCCCGTCTAATTCTTGACCGATCAATCGATCGATCGATTGATCGATCGATCTACCTGTATTTCCGAACTGATTTCCCTCTGTCTACCTTGATCAACTCCGACCAATATATCTCTCGGTCGATCTACCTCTCTCGCACTCTCTATCAATCTCTATCTATTTATCTTTCAATCGAGTAATCTCTACCAATCTTCCTCATTTAATAATATTGATTTTTGGCAGAAAAAAAAGAGGATGCTGCTTGCTCTAAATCAATTGTCCGAGTGCCATCACTTGCTGGGCCGGTTCACCTCTTTGTTCGGCTTTCCAAAGACACACCTCTCTTGTGTCTCATTACACCGATTCTCAGAATTGTGCCTTCCCCGCCCTTGATAACAGGATATATTACTTAAAAAATTAAAAATATTATATATATATGTTTTTTTCAAAAGCCAGAGTTCCTTCCTCTTCACATGAAGCCGAGCGTGGCTAATTCGACATCCGTGGTGCTCTCGCCAACACAGTCGTCCCCAAAATATTTACACTGGAAAGGGGACCCCACTTTTG